TTCTATGCATTTCTGACTCTTCCTTGAATTCCTTTGTGATTGTGAGCAAATTTTTTTTTTTTTTGGAACTTCGAAGTTTGAACAACGCGAATACCGTATGATGTGTGTGCTACATGGTCGGTCACATGCAGCACACCTACCGCACTTCACTACTGCCTTCCCCCGAATATAATGTGCGCACATTACAGTATGTACGGATATAACATATGGCGTAGGGTGTATTCAAATACAACGTACCGTAAATTATATTTGAAGTACAGGTACAAAGTTTCTGCGAGAGGCTAGTCGAATATGGGGCAGATAAAAATTGAGAGAAAAAAAAATGTATACAGCTGTCCCCCGACAAGGAGAAGACAACTTAAAAAAAATAAAAATGATGCAGATATCTGGTATTCGAATATAACATTCGTATGTGTTAAATTTGGGGCTGGGGGGGGAGGGGGGAGGAGAACCCAACTTTTTTAGGGTAAGTTCAATATCACCTACATACGCTGTATTCAGGGGAAGACGGTAGTACCCTGCATCCGGCGTATCTGACCAAAAATCAAACGATGGAAAAAGTTTGTAAGTTCAAATTTCAAACCGGTTAGTGCAAAACGTTTTCTAAGCAGCATTTGGCTTCGATGCTGCATCCGGCGTATCTGGACCGAAAATCAAACGATGGAAAAAGTTTGTAAGTTCAAAGTTCAAACCGGTCAGTGCAAAACGTTTTCTAAGCAGCATTTGGCGTCGATGCTGTCCTGAAGCGGATTGAAAATTGAACTTCCAAAACGCGTCAATTTTTTTTTTTTTTTTTCAGTTGGCTTGTTTCTGTACCCGTTACATCGTGGACTACAACGTATGGTTTATTTGAAGTCTAAACTTAAGCACCTGCTACATTTCAAATGTGTCCTGCACTGCAGCAAAGCACCTTCATGTTTGTGTGGCCAAGACAAGATACTCTGAATTCTTGCCAAAAAAAAGAAGAAAAAAAGAAGAATACAGGACTGTGTGCTGTGGCACACACCAGCCCAGATTCACACATCGGTGCGCTGTTTCTGCCCAAGCCCAGACAGTGCGATGCAGCGCAGCGCAGCAAGGCACCACCCCTTGGAGTTCTGCTTCTGCCCAAGGCAACTGAGTATGCTCAGATATCGAACATTAATTTACTGGATAGCACAGTGCGAAGTGTTCTTTTTTTTTATCGGCCGCTCAAATGGGACATTGACTTGTCAAGTTGCAGAAAGGGAAACATTTTTGGTGCCTGGTCGAGCATGTAGGGCCTCACTCCACTGCTCACAAGGAGTAGGAGAGACAGGAAATGTGGCGGTGTATGTTGCATGTGCTAGCGGAAGATTCAATCTCATTTTGCACATTTGGTGAGTAGCGGAACGAGGCACATACAATGCATACTTGCATAAAAAATAAGAATCTGGGAGAACAAAGGGTGCGCAGATCGGAGACAGATAGTAAAGGAGGGACCTGCAGTCATGTCCAACAGTGGGGCTTTTCTGCAAGCATGGAAGGCAGCTCAAATCCAGGTCTTTTTTTGTTGTTGTTTCAGTGTTCAGCCAACAGTTGTTTGCATTGCAATTCTACCATGGTAACTGACCGGACGTCCGGACCAGGTTCCGGACAATCCGGAACAACATGTCCGGTGTCCGGTGCTTATGTCCGGATGGAGGCCGCCAGGGCAAAAATCGAAAAAAATAAAGGGGTGGCCCAGGACGTTTTTTGGGTCCTGGCCGCCCCTTGAAAAATAATGGGGTGATTTTTCAGTGTCGTTTCACCTCACTGGACAGGGCCTAGCGGTCCGGACACAAGACACTGCAGGTTTTTGGGGTGGCAGGTTTCACACAGTCCCGATCAATTTCAAAGCGGCCGTTTCAACGTGCCGCCTGCCGCTGCTGCCCGTTGTCGAGAGAGAGAGAGAGAGAGAAGTGACAGTGCTGCCAGTCGGAAGACTCTGCCGTTCTGAATTGAACTGCAAAGTTCGAACTTTTAAGTTGTATGAAGTTGTTATGAACTGAAATTAGTTTAATTCAAAGTTCAAAGTTCAAAGTTAATCGTACTTTTAAAAAAAAAAAAATTCTGTGTTTCTTAGTCTTGTGCCTACTTTGCACTGTTTGCAACTCTGCATGTCTGCTAGTTGAATGTGCTTGTTGATTTGCTGCAAGACAGGTGCTCTGCTGCGTGAACTACAAAGTGCAAAGCAGGTAAGTGCCTGCCAACAGCCCCCCCCCCTTCCCTTTCTCCCGTGTGTGTGTGTGTGTGTGTGTGTGTGTGTGTGTGTGTGTGTGTGTGTGTGGTCCGGACATTTGCACCCCCTGACACCGGTCCGGACTGTCCGGGTCCGGTGATGTCCGCGTGCGTGTCCAGTGATGTCCGGATCACTGGACAGTCCGGACTGTCCGGGTCCAGTGATGTCTGCNAGTGATGTCCGGATCACTGGACAGTCCGGACTGTCCGGGTCCGGTGATGTCCGCGTGCGTGTCCAGTGATGTCCGGATCACTGGACAGTCCGGACCGGTCCAGACACCGATCCGGAAGACAGTCCGGGAGTGTCCGGTGTCCGGGTCCATGGTTACCATGAATTCTGCACAACATCCTTTTTTCCAGACTTTTTTTTTTTTTTTTTTTTGGGATTTTGCACTGGGGCTGGCCGGGACCTCGCCTGGGGTCCAGCCTGGTCAGGCAGCTGGGCGTGTGTCTGGGCACAACATTTGTGCCTGTGCGCACAGAGAAAAACGGCCTAGAGATATCTATAGTACATTTGCTCATTGGTTCACTGATGATTATGGTATCTGTTGTTGAACGGAGGGGCGTATGAAGATTGCTGATGATGCCACCCGATGGGTGCAAACTAGGGGCCTCGCTCCACTACATAACACTCTGCATGCATTTGGACACTTTGTGGACCCAATGCACTAAAAAATGTTGGACTCGTCCGAATGCCCCTGGTCCGGAAAGCGACTAAATGCAGGTGGAGTGTTGTGTAGTGGAGTGCAGCCCTACCTATCGTATCGTTCCTGCATTATGGAACTTGGATCCTTTCTTCTGAGTAATTTCAATTTCAATTTTCTTCTTTGTGGTGCAGCTTTTTTTTTTTTTTTGTCGTAGTTTAAAATTTAATCCCGTTTGGTCATCGATTTTTTTTTTTAATAATATTTTGGCTCTCTTCCAGCTTCATGTTTCCGGTGCCATCACAGTAATCCATCATCGCTATCATGGGAGGTGGCGGCAGGCGCAGCATTGCTCGGCTTTGCCTGCCCTCCAGAGGAGGCAATGGTTGCTGGCCTCAACGGCCCGCACGGCAGAGGCGGCGCCCGACTGCTGGGTCAGAGTATGCCGTTGGCGGTGACATCATCAACTTGCTGCCCGATGCGCTCATCTTGGTCATTCTGGGATGTGTGGGCGATGCAAAGACTGTGCGGCTGTCTGCCGAGGATTCCGAGACGTAGTTGACCGGGTATGATCTGCATCAAGCTCGCCTTTTCTTCTTCTTTTTCTTGGCTTTGTTTGTGTGGGAGATTGTGTGCGTGTGAGCATGTGTGGGTAGGTGCGTGCGCTTGCAAACCCTAAACCGCCACAACCTTTCAGGCTGTAGTTCCAAGTTGGGAATGTAACCTATACTGCATTCTTCAGAGGCCTGCAGAGGCCGGGCACTACCGGACCAAAAAGGCTTGCCGCGCAAGCCAACGCAAAACAAAAACGCAGCGCTCCCGCTTCAACCTCCAATTGGCGCGCACAGCCACTCCACCTCGGCAAAAAGAGGCTCGGAGGCAAGTGATGGTTTAAAGGAAAAATGTTGTGTGTGTGTGTGCGTGTGTGTGTGTGTGTGGGTGGGTGGGTGTAGCTATAGGCTTGTGTGTATGTGTGATACGTGTGTGAAAGCACGTGTAGATTATCCTAAGCACAGAGGAGGTAAGTAGTGGTTTAAATGAAAAATGTTGTTTGTGTGTGTGTGTGTGTGTGTGTGTTGGTGGGGGTAGGTGTAGGCGTGTGTGTATGTGTGATATGTGTGTGAAAGCACATTTAGGTTATCCTGAGCACAAAGACTGCACCACACCGACTCAATACTCCAAGAGGAAACACACATCTTAATGTGCCAAGTGAAAGGACAATCGTTGTAGTAGCATTGCAGGTCCACTTGACATTACAAAAGACAGGAAAAAATGCAAGTGCTAGAGTGAAAGGCAGACAGTGAAGCAAAAAAGCATGAGGCAATAAGACATCGGACGACAAGCAACGGCAAGCGACATAGTCTGGGGGTTAGAGGGGAGGTGGGTGGGCAGACAGACAGCACAAGACAAGCAAGGAAACGGCAGCGAGGCAAACAAAACTAATACAATGACGAAAAACAAACAAAGACCCTCCCCCCCCCCCCCCCCCCCCCCCCCCCC